GGCATTATAACTGATATCAGCTCATGATAAAAACCCTAAATCTAATTCCTAACCTTAACCATCAACTGTAAATCATAATTGTAATTCCTCACACTGGTTTATAATCCACATTTGGTCCTAGTTATTAGGTGGACAGTCTCAAGGTCACTTTAGCGTCGCTGAAAGATCGTCCATAAATTATAGCCTCACTATAAAAGTTTCCGATGGCTAGCAGTGGGATCCAGGACGCGCATTTTGTTCTATCTGGGACTCGTCAGCAAGGATGTACCTGGGATGTTCATACTTCAAGCCAACATCAAGGAAATCAACACAGGAAAAATATATGCCAATAAAAGATTGATGAATTACAGTTTCAAACATCAATGGGAAGATTCACATTTTCTTTTACTATTCTCACTTTCATCAAAAGTACCAATTGGTTTATTAAATGTATATCATTCAATCTATTTGAATAACTGATTGAGTTGTGTATCTTTATCATTTATGACATATTTTGATCTGACAGTTTGAACGAGTTAATGAGTTTGTTATGAACACATTTATTTATCATGTATATATATATATATATATATATATATATATATATATATATATATATATATATATATATATATATATATATATATATATATATATATATATATATATAATATATAATATATATAGACCATTTAAATTTAAACCGAAGGAAAAGCACACACCATTGATCATGATTTGACTTCACTTTTTAAGGAAGGATAAATATTCTTGACTCGGTCTCAGCCAATAAACCTTCCCTCTCACTCAAGTAGTTAGTTTGAGCTCATTTATGGAGTTTGTTTATTAGTATAAGACTTAGACGACTGTACAACATAACAAAACCTGTTACTCAGTGTTGTAGCACAAATTTCCTACTTTTACAGATTGTGATTTATCATTCATGGTGATTTATAATTTCGTAATTCATGAGTTTGATCAAATGAGTTTTAAATTCGAGTAATGAAAACTAGTGAGAAGTCTTTATTTGGTCTTCCCTCAATTCTAATTTGGCAAGGGTTAGAATATTTCATGGGGTATCAATCATCATGACATATAGATTAACTACATCAGCTGATCCGATAAATCACTAAACATAAACAGAGAAGAGTTTATAACAATCCTGAATGGTAAATACTATTACTATGTCTTCACAAGAGTAGCAGAAACTCAAATCAAATCTACGGAATAAACCATTGAAATTCATAATTACTAATCAACCTATTTGAAAAAGATGTAATTGACAGACCGAATTCCGTAAACAAGAGTGATAATTTAATTTGAAAGAAAATTCTATTTTTAATAGTTGAATTCATGAGTCAATTAAAGCTAGACCACCATGAAAAACCTGGAACAACTGAACGGCCATTTCATCCTAGTATGGGACTCCTAAGCAGTGCGCGTCCACGATCCCGCCTCACGAGTTCCAACCTAGGACATATCAGCCTTGCGCGCGAACGCTTAAACTCTAGACCACTGAGCCGGCATCCAACGGTGTTAATGTCTAACTTCAACCAATCCACGATATTGCGCCATCGTCCACCATTGTCTTCAGTGAGTCCTATTGTGGAACTCCTAAGCAGATATTTGAATTGTACAAAATTTTCTTTCGCAGTATGAAAAATAACTTTAATGAATCGAATATGAAGTAAACACTGTGTTGTTGATGTGATGGTGACAAATCGAGAAGTGAAGATGAAGATTTTGGATTATATTTCCAGGAGAAATCATTCTGACTACCCATTTTAGTGTGAAATTTCTAAATAACATTTAGACTTGTAGTATAAAAATGCTTAGTGTCTAGTTGCTAGTTCTTCTAATTCATCTTGATCCTGAGGAAAAATCATGGTTTAAATATGTCATCGGAAAAGGATTTAAGCGCACTTCTCCAGAATTTATACTTAGTTTTTCATGTTATTTGCTCTTAACTTTCTAACCACAATGCAATTATCGCTCAACTGTCTTACCTAGTACACGATTCTTGTTACAGAAAACAAAGATTTCACATTCTAACATCTCACAGCTACCCACTATAATGATCTCAGTTTAATTGTATTGTTATACAAGACGAATCAACGAGTTAACAATAACTATTTTCTGAAATCTTGCACTCACTAAACAACATGAAATTTAACATTGTTCCAGAAAAACACTTTAGTGATCCCTTGAAGTTAATTCAATAGCCCGAAATAGAATCAGAAACGAATAAACATAAGATCGTCATCAATATATATATGATCAGATCACGGTAAAATACATAGTTACGAGCAAACCACTAACAATAGAATAAAAAAACTAAACGAGTTAAGATTCGATAGGAAGATTAGAAGATTAATATGAATTACTTTATTGTATTCTACAGTTAGATTAGTACAGGGCAAAAATAAAGTGTACATACTTTCGAATTTTTACATTTTAGGAAAGGTAAAGCAAATGTCATCGAAGAGTGAAGGAATCTAATAAGCTGTCTCATTCACTGTCAGCTAAACTACCATCCAACAATCTACCACTATGACAAATATAGATCATGAAACTCTATGATGTCTTTGTCTACATTGTTGACTAATTACTTAACAGTTTTGTAGTGTTCATCTAGCATACAACGAACATGTAAAGCACTTTGTGCACTAAAGTTAGACTAGGGGCATGTAAATGACTAAATCAAACTGCAAACTCATTAATCTTTATTCTAATCCAATATAATAGATCTACAAAAGTGTGTATAACACACATCAAAACAGAACAATTAGGATGAATTTAAAAGAAACAGTATGAAGTAAAGTATTTGTTTAAATTTGATACAGTGAAAGAGTAAAAATATCGAAACCGATGGACTAAAATGATTCTAAGCTTTCTAATCAATGATAAATTACTAAGATATATATTTGACACCAGTCACATATATTAGACAGAAAAAATGAATCCAATTTTTCTTGTATAAATTACATGACACACTGAATTTGAACCTAATTCTAATTGATATAAATATGTAACCGAAGGGTTAATAAAAACCAAGAGCTAGAAATTTATACTTAGTTTAACTGAGCTACTAGAATTAAAACAATATGTTACATTTATCAAAATCATAAAACATGCTTCAGATTCCTTCGGAAAGGAATCAAGAAATGAATGTAACTCGCTGTATGACAACTAGTTGATGGTTACATTATGATACAGTGTTTATTTATTTGAACAAATAAACATCGGTACGAGAAGGCACCAAATAGATATGAGCCGCCACATAAATAATTCTATTTGTATGAAGTCTGGGATACTGTCTGGGTGCCCAAACCGAAGCAGGTAGTTTTGTTCGGATGCTACACTTCAAGCCCTTGACCCAAAGGCCTGATCCACAAGGCAGTGGAACAACGTAAGCAAATGCAGTCCCATGGTAGTCTGTGACCAACAATAGGTTCATACTCCATTTGTTCTTTGAGGATACTGGAGCCCATGTACACCATTAGTTTGGAATCATCGTTTCCCAACTCTCCAAGGTGTCGATCAACCCGGTTACAGCGCCGGACATTTGCTTTTCGTCCTCTCAATTTCGTAAACAACAGTAATGCTGCAAGAAGGCAGTGAGCAGGACTTTGCTGGCAGTGACTGTATAGGAGTGGCCATGTGGAAGCATTTCAAGTGGGAGAGCTGACTCTCCCCGCTCTCGGCATCGGTGTAATCACAATTTCTTTTAATCTCAATTAGAATTGCAAAATTCATTTGAATGCTTATTTTAATTTATACATAGATATCAATAGAAATATAATATCAGATCCAATGAAGAATAATATTCAAGAGCCCTGATCAAAAAATCAACTACCATTTGGAGGAATGAACAAAGAAATCTATTCCAATGTTTAAATTGGTATAAAATTTTTTTATAGGACTACTAAGTCTGTTTAGTAAATGTGTGTACATTAGTGACTCTCAGGAAAAACCATAGTTACTGTTTGATCACATTTAACCTTTTATTTTGAAAACAAACTAAAAAGACTCTACATTTATGTAGCTGAAGTTCGAGTTATATCCACTTCAGATTTTTAGAGATTAGGAAGCTTAAAAGTGTTTAGAGCTGTTTAGGTCACGATTAAGAAATTTTAGAAATAACTTCGATTTGTCGGTCCTCACAGGTAAAACTTATCTATGAAAATGCTCGATGAATGATGGTAATTAACAAGAATCATCAGTTAAATGTCTCATTCTAGTTGGTACTCATTAGCGGGAAGTATTTTCGATTTTGCATAAACTGATGATGCCAAGAAAACACTACGATTTCGAGGCATTTAGAATACTGATTACATTACTGCATGATCCAGAGTTTGATCAGCACAAAGAACTAGACATGATATTGGTTAGTCCTTAGTGATCAGTCAATACAATTATCATAAACTCACAATGTTCAACAGTGATCAGTTTGCATTGGTAGCAAAATCTCTGACACAGTTTCACTAATAATATGAGCCAACTAAAATCTAGACAACGAAACGAATAGAAAACCATAGCCAAAACAACCTAGGTAACACCAACACCATTTTCATCCTAATTTATAAATATATATTTCCATAGTTGAGATCATGAGTCAATTGAAGCTAGACCACCATGGAAAACCTGGAACGACTGGACGTCCATTTCATCCTAGTATGGGACTCCTAAGCAGTGTGCATCCACGATCCCGCCTCAAGAGTTCCAACCCAGGACCTATCAGTCTTGCGCGCGAACGCTTAACCTCTAGATCACTGAGCCGGCCGACATCCAACAGTGTTAACGTCTAACTTCAACTAATTCACAAAATTGAGCGACACATCCAACATTGTCTTCAGTGAGTTACTATCACCTCACAACACACTCGGTTGAACTCCACTGGTCACTTCTTCTTACTAGAACTCCAGGTAATACCTCTTGAAGCCAGTCACTAATGAACGTATTTTGATTAATATCAGAAGGGATCTTGTGGATATTATAGTAATTTCAATAGTTGAAATCATGAATCAATTGAAGCTATATATATTTATACAAAACCATTGAAGCATTTAACAATTGATACATACACCAAAACAAAAAAGTGACTTTTTACAATGTGTATTTCTGTTTTACGAGGAAGGGTCAAACTTTAAATAAAGGAACTAGAAAAATCAATTACATTTTTAAAATATATTTTCTAAATTAAATACCGGCGCCTAAATCTTTTACAGTTACACTAATAATATTTACATCTTCTAATGGTTTATCATTTTTTGGATTTGTTTTAATATTCGATATCTTTTGAACAACTTCCATACCTTTGATAACACGACCAAATACTGTATGTTTATTGTCTAACCAAGGCTAGAAATAATAATAAAATAATGAAAAAGAAATTGTAGCGATAATAATAGGATTAGGAAATTAAAATTTTTCTAAAAATTATATTAATTTCAATAGGTGAGACCATGAGTCAATTGAAGTTAGACAACCATGGAAAACCTGGACGGCCGTTTCACCCATTTGCGGAACTCTTCAGCAGTGTGCATCCACAATCCCGCAATCGAGAGTCAAAACCAAGACCTTCAGTCTCGCACGCGAACGCTTAACCTCTCGACCACTGAGCCGGCCGGCATCCAACGGTGTTAATGTCTAACTTCAACTAATCCACGAAATTGAGCGACACATCCATCATTGTCTTCAGTGAGTTACTATCTCTGCTGAGGAATCCACAATAAGACGGAACGGCCGTCCAGTGCTTCCAGGTTTTCCATGGTGGTCTAGCTTCAATTCACTCATGATCACAACTATTGAAAAAAATTATATGTTTATAAAAATTGAAGTCAGTCAAGGGTAACGAAGAATTTAGTACATCTTTGACATAACAGAGTAGTAGTGTAATGAACGAAGACTTGATGGGGTGGGCTGGGGGAACCAATAAATCATTTCATGTCAAAATTACAAAGTGCCTTTGTAAAATATGAAAATCATATATTGAATACACCATTTGCATATCTTCCCTCAGTTATCATTTACATACTCCATGATTCTTCCAATTCCGTTGTTATTACAATTGCTCTCTATTTTCGTTGCTGTTCGCTTCAATTTAACCTTCTGCTGACAGACATTTCGCCTACGATTACTGCTATATACTACTTATATCTGTCAGAGTAAGAAGTATATACCACAGTAGTGGTAATAGGAAAGATTACTTACTTACGCCTGTTATCCCTAGTGGAGGAGCATTCCCCATCCAACTATGTCCTGGGCAATCCTTTCCAGTTGCTATTCATTCTTTTCATTTCTGCTTCCTATTCCTGGTGCAATGTGTTTCTTGGTCTTCATCGTTTCTGTTTCTCTTCAGAATCCCAAGTTAGCGTTCGCCTCGTGATGAAGTTTGATGATTTGAGTAATGTATGTCCTATCCACTTCCATCGTCTATTCTTAATTTCCTCTTCATCTAGAAGCTAATTTGTTCTCTCCCAAAAGGAAAGATTAGGTATCAACAATAGTCATAGAATACCTTCAACCATCATCTTACATCTTAACATAGTGAACATAATGTCGGGTCACTTAGACTAGTGGTTACATTGCAATTTGACCAACAGAATTCTATTAACCCAAAGAGTAACTTAACATATATGACAATGGTCACTATTCAGTGATCAATCAAATGCAATGATTTCATGAACTGACGTAACCTATCGGTTCGACCGCCTCTAGCTTTTTCAATAACTACTCCTATCGCAGCGAACATTATACTCAAAGTTGTTTTATCATCGAGAATTAGTGTTAGCTGGAAAAGAATTAGAAAGACGGAAAGTACTGCATATCCTAGTAAAGATTCATTGTGGAGAGAGTAATGAGTGAGTACATTTAAAACGATCAGATAGTGTTCTAACTACTTTAATAGTTTTTTTTTTATAGTTCACGTTAGATCATAATGAAAATTACCTTCAACATGTTCTCAAGTTATTGTGAGTAAACAGAAATACGGATACCGAATCAATTAAAAGTGTATAAAACGGAGTCATAATTTAACTCAAAAATCATGTACAAGGACATGTTTTGATTTTCTATGTAGTTATTATTCAGCTACTAAGGCTATAGTTATATAGGAGATGGGTTCAAACCTGGAACATAATGATAACTGAGAGTTCAGTACTGTGAACTTCAAACCATCACATTATTATTGACATTGATAATCATATAAGAATTAAGACAGTTACCACCTAATGGCATTGAATGATGAACACGTTGATAGAAGTTGAAATCATGAACTCATTATTTTAAAGGTCCATCGTGTTTGTAGTAAGATTTAAATGTCGTGAGCTCTCTATAGACTTTATATATAGTCTGATTAAATATTCAATTTTATTGAGACTTCATAAAATTAAATAAATACAATTACGGAAAGGGACAAACAGACAAGATACTTACAGTTGGAGCAACAGTTATAAAGAATTGAGAACCATTAGTATTAGGACCGGCATTAGCCATACTGACAGTGTATGGTCGATCATGTCTTAGACTAGGATGAAATTCATCTTCGAATTCACCACCCCATAAAGATTCTCCACCGGTACCCGTGCCTATATACAAAAATACATAGCTGATTGTACTTCAATAACATCTGTTATTTATAAACTTTACAAATCATATAAATAGCGATTTCACAATAAAATCAGCAGTTTCATCAATAAATTGATGTGTATTAACTAGATTTCATATTATTGCACGAACTAAAGAATTATGACATCGTTTGACGAGGAAGAATTAGGGTTCTTTAAAAAGAACCATTTATAGAAAACAAACATGAAACAACCAGCTGACTAACTTCTATAGCTGGGTTCCATTAAGAAGAAAGAGAAATCTTATTCACTCTTTATGTTACCGAATACGTCGGATATACAGTACAGAATGCATTGATGAAGAACTCGCATACCTTGGAAAAACTCTGGCTGAAAACGGCTATTCAAGTCGCTTCGTCCAAATCTACCTAAATTTCTTCATATCCAACTCCTTAAAACAGTGGAAGCTCCTGCCATTCGAAAGAAGTACGCGTTATCGTTATATTGGTCTTAATCTATCATTAATGCATTTCGTATTTGAAAATATCCTCCTGTTACTTTACTTATGTTTCATATCCTCATGATTTTATTCATAATTGTTCCTGATATCATTTTATTTCATTTTTACAACTCTATTACCTTTAATTATTGTAACAACAACATTTCGATAGGTTATGCGTTCGCGTACGAGACCGAAGTCCCTAGGTTCGAGTCCCGTGTGCGGAGTTGTGGATGCACACTGCTTAGGAGTCGCATACTAGGGCGAAACGGCCATCCAGTGCTACCAAGTTTCCAATGGTGGTTTATCTTAGATCGACTCATGAATTCAACCATTAAAATTACTACAATATCCACAAACTCCCATTTTGATTAAAAAAAATTAATCATCTTCATTCACACTATAATCCGTTCTTAACTTATTAATTTTACAAGGTTTTTTTAATCTACATGAACACAATATTTTATTAGCGAAGATAGATAGTGACTAGCGGTGGAATACAGGACGCGCGTTTCGTCCTATTTGAGACTCGTCAGCTAGATGTACCTGCATCTCAGACTTGGCGTTCACTCTGGGCCTCGAACTCAGTACCGTTCGTTTTAAATGCCATCGCGTTATCCACTTAGTAAACACTACGAAGGGAATTTCGCAGTCATTTATTGTTATTAGGCATATTACGTGATCTAGCATTATAATCTTCTTATTACATCATCATGTTTATTCCTTGTTCATATGACCTCATGGAACCAGTACTTTAACATAAAAAAATTTCATACGATTGTAAAGCTTGATAATAAAATCGTTGAAAAAAGATTCCTTAGATGAACTTCATATTTTTAATTATGACATTATTAAACTATAATGAAGTGTCTCAATCGAATCTCCTTTGAAACTATTTTCTACAATGTTTAATTTTTCGAATTTAAAGACCACATACTGACATATTAGTGTTTTACGGATGTATAAGGAAAATTTTTAAAATTAAAGATGAATATTAGTCAGTCAAAGGTAACGTATAACTTGGCACATATGTATATCAGTTCAAGTTGCTATATCCTATTAGTGCAATGAAATAAAAATTATCCGGGCGAATTCCGGAGTAATGGCGGGTAGTAACAATGCTGGTTGTAATAGAAGAGATCAAGCATCGAAGATACGATTTGAGAAAATACAAATTGGTGAAATACGAAAAAAAGATCGGGAATTTAGAAACTAAGGATTCTAGAGAAAACAGTGAGTGAATACACTTGCGTCATTACAAACGATTTTGAGCAATATCACTCAGTCTCTAACTATTGGTTACAACAATCATGTGAACTGCAGCCAGGTTGCCTGTATCTACCTACATGGACCAGTCCAGTAGCACCTGTTTTTATGAACTGATGATGCATTTTGGTTTAGCCGCCCACAACTTCATCCAGCCTACTCCTACACTGGTCAATATAGTGCATCGATGTGGTTTGTGGATGGGCATACGTAACAAATGTCCTGATCAGCTCAGTCGATAATGGTTCAGTATCTCGTCAATCGATTGATTTATTCACCTATTTGCCTACACCTAACATCGCCATTGCTCATTCGGTAGTCCCAAAATTCCCAAGCAATGCTTTGAAGACATTTATGATTAAATAATAATCACCTAAAAAATATCCTCCTCGTTTCACAATCATAAAGTAGAATGGAGAAAACTGCTGCGCAGTACATTCATCCTTTAATTGGTATACAGATATCTCGCCTATACAGTAAGTTAGCAATAATGAATGTAAAAATAAGTGAGAGTTGATGAGAACAATTTAAATTCTGTAATGCTGATTCAACAACTTGACGCTTAACTATTAACGAAACAATACAGTTATTCATTCCAAGAAACATTGGATATTGAAATTAAGTAGTTTTCTCCAACTATATAGGTGCAATGTTATCGGAGCCACTAATTATGCAGTCTTCATTATATATATATATATATATATATATATATATATATAAGAATGAAAGTTAAAATTAGGTCATAGATATTTTACAAGTCTTGCACTAAACCGATAGTCATCAACAAATACCATGGTTTTTTCCTTAGCTGACCAGATAGTTTCCACAAACGTACCATTAACGATTTGTTTAACATGAGATAAATATAATTTATGGATAAAGGCAATTTAAATAAAGTTCCCTCTCTTTTTCACTTACCTAAAGGACAACCAGTTTGAATCATAAAACCTTTAATAACTCTATGAAATATATGACCATTATAATAGCCAGCTCTTGAATGTCCAACAAAATTCTCTACTGTTCTAGGGCATTCTCTAGGACATAAACGAATATGTATATCACCTAAAGTTGTATGTAGAATAGCGCTACCAGCTAATCGTGAAGCAGCTGTTGCTGAATCTCTTGTTGCAGCTAATACTTCTTCTTTAGTTGGTTTCTCATTGAATACATCACGTTCGGCAGTAGATCCTGATGTGACTGTATCACCACTGAGGTGAAGAGAGAAAAAACACGACAAAAAATATATTGTTAGCATGAAACAGAGATGTGGAAATTAATCGTTAGATGTTGATATTAAAAGTACTTGTTGTCCTGAATTATATTCCATAACAACATGTCATGAATGAATCATTTAGTCATTGATATTTTATAATACTATTATCACCTATTAGATTGTGTTTTTTTTTCAAGTACCTAGTTAGTTCAGTAAATTTTTTTTCAGATTCTGATGGAGATTATGAATCAATCAGTGTTAAACCACTATTGAAAACTTGGAAGCACTGGACAGCCGATTAGATCCAATGGTGGTTTAACATTGATCCAGTCATGATCTCAATCAAAAACTTAACAATCTCCACAACCATATACTGATATTTTTCGGATTCGTCTTTTTTTTTAAGGTGATAACTGAAAGCAATGTAAATCTTGGTTTATTAATTTTATCACTTGGATTTCAACCAAAAGAGGTTATGAATTCTAACTTTACTTAATACAATTTACTAGCTGAACTTGAATTTACCATTAATAACTTCAGTTAATCCATGATATTTTTGGAGATAAACATCAATTAATCACAATGTCACATCGTCGACTGACTAGAAAGTGTAAAAATATGAAATCCATAAGAATCTAACCCAGTGACTACTACCCTATTGTACTTCCTTAATGATCTGAAGTTCTTGAGTTTTGATTCACTAAAGGGCATTATTGTAGTTCTAAACTACTGTCCATTGTTTTATCACTTTATGATGAATAATGCCAAAGCTAACAAACGATTAAATATGTAGTTTTGGGGATGTATGTCATTAGTAAGATGAAACCAACAATTTCTATTTTGATTTCAAACAAATGAATCATTTTTCAGTCCAACTAAACAGTAGTACATAGACAGGATCAATAAAAGCTGAGGAGTCGCATGCTAGGACGAAACGACCGTCCAGTAATTCCAGGTTTTTAATGGTGGTCTAACATTGATCCATTCATGATATCAATTTAAAGTCATCATAAAGATTGTGTATGTTGTGTGTATTATAGATATATACAAACATACAATACAACACTGGGTAATTTCTTGGTTTGATAGCTATTATTGACATCGATAAAGACCATTATCATCATGATTGAAAAACATTTTTCTTTTAACTTGTCAAAAAGAGAAAAGGTTTGAAAGAAAAAAGGAAAGACTGTGAAAATGATGTGCAAAAAAGTAAAGTAAAAATAAACGAAGAGTTTGAAAGAAAGTTAAAAAGACGATTTTCTTATTATTGTCTACATACATACATATAGGCAAAAGCACAAAATCTCTAACATTGAATATGAAGAGCATAATCATTACAAATGAATCAATAATTTGTGAATAAATGAACCCAACCCACAACATATGAATGAATGTAAGATATATGTGTGTACATAGAAATTACTGTGCTAAAAACTAGTGAAAACAAATTGTGATTGATAGTTCTAATAATAAAATACAGAAATAAATAGAGACAGAGAGGAAGATAAAGGTAAAATGAAGTGAGAGTGTTGTAAACTGTATACACCAATAGGATTCTGATAATAATGTTGATTTACAACACAGCGGGTATTTTAAGGCAGACAAAAGTAACAATAAAAAAATATTGGCATATGTAAAAGTATAATGAATGACTGGTTTAACTCTTGCTGAACTATATATTCATTAGAGCAGTTGAAAAGAAGAAACATCACGATTTTTGGAGAGATTTAGAAACTAACGTAATAACAGATATGGATGATGACTAGCAGTGGAATACAGGACGCGCGTTCCGTCCTATTTAGGACTACTCAGCTGGATGAGCCTGCATCCAAGAGATGATGTTCACTCCGGCACTTGAACTCGGTACCGTTAGCTTCAAACACCATCACATCATACACTTAACAACTGAAGCATCTAAGGGTGTTAAAGTCTAACTTCAATAGATCCACAACCCTTTAGCCATTCTCTTAGCTTAGATAGACTGGTGAATTCAACTGTGAAAATAATACAATCCCCATACTGATAATCATTACTTCGTTTACTTGAACCTTCATTCAATTAACATTTATGTAATTTTCATATAAAATGCTTTGACAAGTATATGTGTGACCCGACTGTTTGAAATGTATGACGCAAACAGATCACATTTTTCAAATCAACTTCGTCTTCTCATTGTTCTATCGATATTCATATATACATAGGTAACAGAAAAAAATTAGGAGAAGGAAAGCACATAAACTGAAAAGGATGGTGCTTTTTGTTGTAACAGGACGAACATCGCATACATCTTAACTCTATGTTTATATATCCCGTTTATCATACGTCTTCATTTTAGGATCCAGGTTAAGCTCACTGACGATTCTGAACTAGGAGGAAACGTCCGTGTTCATTATCATTACAGGTCACTATCAAATTCTACTTGTAATCATTATTAGACTGCTTATTATTTCTATTTTGTTACCAATCTATCACTTACGGGTTGCCCTATTCAAAATGACTTTTGGTTTAATCATGTATAACTGTGATTATGTGATATATAAACACATATGTACTTGAATTATGATGACAATACCAGCCGGCTTCTGACTTCACTTCCGATGCAAAGCAAGGGATAGAGAAAAATTTGTGAATAGAGAGCCAATAGGAGATTAGTTTACGTTGACTGAAGGTTAACTGTGCAGGTCAGGTCATATAATTGGCTAATTCTAGTATGCTAAGCTACAGATGGAATTTTGGAAGCAAGATAGGAAAAAATTATGGTCGGAATTCGGATTGGTAAATTTAGAATATGATATCGATTAGCGTCTCAAGTTATGATTCACATGTTGTCGTTTCGATATCTATGAGGGTAAATTATTCATTATTTAATTGTGGAATATATTTTATTTCACAGATTGAAATCATGAATCAATTGAAGCTAGACCACTATGAAAAACCTGGAAGCATTGGACGGCCGTTTCGTCTTAGTATGGGACTCCTCAGCAGTGCGCATCCACGATACCGCACCCCGCGAGATTCGAACCAAGGACCTATCAGTCTCGCGCCAGGCGCATAACCAACTAGACCACTGAGCCGGCCGATATCCAACGGTGTTAATGTCTAACTTCAACCAATCCACGAATTTGCGTCACCGTACACCATTGTCTTCAGTGAGCTGATATCTCACAACAGACCTGGTTGAACTCCAGGTTTTCCATGGTGATCTAGCTTCAGTCGACTCATGATTTCAATCTGTGAAATTTCTACAATCTCCACAAACCCCTTCTGATATATTTTATTCCAAATATACTTTCATGTAGACATTTTTAATCCTTTTATTAATTAATTAATTAATTATTAATATAATTGTGAGTAGAGATAGACGGACTCATATTACAACAAGACGATAATGCTCGTTGCAACATGAAATACGCAGCATAATCATAGAAGTGCTCAGCTTCAATACTAATTCTAAATACAGATAACTATAATGTCTTGGTCAATGGAAATCAGTAGTCAACTTAAAAAAATCTACAATGTGTCCATTACTTCAATAATTACTTGATACCACTAGTCAACTAAACACAGGTTTACATTATTAAAATTAGAGTTACTATATTAGTTTCCCGCTGTTTAAACTGAAATGAGTAGAGTTTATACTAAATTTAAATGAGTGATTGGACGTTCAGTTTTTAAACCACTTAGATTTCGAAAAAACTATCACATGATTGAATAGGGTATACGATGATCAACGTTAACTGCTACGTTGATGCAGTGTTCAGGCTTCCAAGTCTTAACGACACATTTGAGCTATGCTTGATGATACATTTATTCAAAGGGGTCCTACCATGTTAAATAGGTCTGTGACAATACCAAATTAAGCGAACATAAGACCAAAAGGTGATGACGTGCTATCTACCAAAGTACGATGTGGTGGTAGTAAAGACCATGAATAACCAAGACTTTTATCGACGTTGTATTTGAACAAACAAAAAAAGAGATCAGATATGGTTAGTCAAATAAATAGCACACTTTTTTTGTTTCATAAATTTTGGGTAATAGTCATGACTGGCTTACTAAAGCTACACAATAAGTGAACTAAATTCCAAAAATAACCGATATGTCTCTTGATAAGTGGTTTGATTAAGGTTAATCCAGCATTCAAAAACCCCACGGATCCACATTTACTTTACAATTAATGATGTTGATTAACAATCCTATTAAGTGGGAAACATTATGGCAGGTTATTTACATTATATTAGAATTTCCTTTATTTACACTAAATACATTTCATTGCGATGTCTTACACACTTTAACGGCCTAACTAAGGAAGTCTCAAAGAAAAGATACGATGACACAACAATGATTAATTATCAGTATAGGTTTGTGGAGATTGTTGAGTTTAAATTGATAACATGAAAGGATCAATGTCAGACCACCACGGGTTCGTGGATACGCACTGTTGAGGAGCTTAATACTAGGACGAATCGGCCGTCCAGTGATTCCAAGTTTTCAATGGTGGTTTAACATAGATCTATCCATTATATCAATTCATATTATTAATTAATCTTGTAAACAAAGGTGATTTGATTTAATATGCTAAAATTAATATATAATGAACAAAAGATTTCACTGAACAATTAAAACAAAAAAATGATCAAACAATAGTAACATACTCAGACTTTACATCATGTGGTTCACGATTTGTAAATAAATAGATACGATTTTTCTTGAATGCAGTACATACTATTACAGGTGTACACATCATTGTTGAATTACACGGAGTGGCACTATTGTTACTCGCGGTTAATGAATCATTTGCCATAGCAAGCATTTCTAAACTAGGCACACAAGATGATGTCCCAGAACCAATGTTAGTTGAACCATAAAATATTGAAGTACTACGTGGTGGCATAAAAGCAAGTTGAATAAAACGCAGATTCTCTGGTCCACCAAGATTTCTAACTACACGATTCGATATGATATTAATAATTTTTATGCCTAATAACGTAGCGTAGGCTAAAAAATTACTAGAAGAGTCAAACACTGGAAAAATGAAAAAAAAAACATAACAGCGATAGGTTATAGTTCAACAAAGATAACACTGAAGTAGTTAAGGAATAAATAAAAGTGAGATTGGTTTATATGACCATAAATGATTGAGATCCAATAGTTTACATTATGAACAGACCTTTGTTAAACAGCCACTGGAAACCAAGAACAACTAAACAGCTGGTTTTTCTTGATATGAGACTCCCTAGCATCAATTATAATCATCTGTGCATTCGTGACTAATTTGGAGAGATAATATTCAGAGTTATAATGAGAAGATATGACTAGTTGATTTCAGCTATTTAGGTTTGAGGCAGTTACTCACCAATTCATCTTAGAAGATAGTTGAGGAATATCACGAATTAATTGAAGCTATAGATGTAAATCATTTAATAATGATTCGACAGTGTTGAAGTTAGAGGCTCATCCAGATAACTGAGTGTTCTGAGTTCGGCCATGGGTGTGAACCCCTAGAACCAAAAACGGCTATCTGAAACCTGCCGTTTTTAGTGGTTATCTAAGGTCTGTTAGTGAAAAGAACTATACAATTCACTAGTCTCCAAAAATACCTTACAATATCAATTAGGATTCAGTTAAATTTAGACATTATGGTTGAGAAAGAAACGACTGTCACGTCTACTGCATTACAGCAGAATACCATATACAACTAATGGCACTCGAACAAATGGAAACCCACAGTCGTAAACCAGAAGATGGAAGAAGTAGAGATGTGGCCGTTGCGTAAGAATCAAAAATGTACAGAAAAACACGGGTATTTATAGCTATTAGCGTTGGCTATAACACAATTATAATTCAGCTCACCCATGGTCGTTCAATCGTAGCACGCCACTTCGATATTCTAGAGTCCTATCAGGTTCTGATTGGATGAAATCTCTTCGACTTCTTGATAGCCTCTGGAGGCCTCGTCATGCTACCCGAAAGCCGTCCCAACAACAACTATTTTATGCACGACATCAGTTATAGTCATTATCAAAGTTATATTATTACAACATTTAAAAGCTATTCTAGATAACTTTTTCAGAAACAGAAACGTAATAAAACGGAGAGAGCACAGCTGAAAAGCCAACAAATGCGATAATTATGTAGCTATCAAACAATTTGGCGAAGTTTCATTGAACAGAGAAGAATGTACCACATATTATTAAACTTAATTTTATCGCGTCAACATCTTCATAACAAAGCAGGTTAAGTATAAATGAACTGTATAAAATAAAGACCTACCTAAGTTACAACTATGCTTAAATTCTGAACGATCAAGTTCTTTTTCCTGTGCCAAACGGCGACCGAATTCCATACTAGGTAACAGTTGTTTAGTCTGTAAAATAAAACCAACATAAAATACACGTGAATCAATACTAACGAAAAGTTTATTATTTTGCTTATAAGTATGTGACTACTTATAAGTAGGAAAACCCATATTAGTGGAAATATTTTGCCAAATGGTTTGTTACAAATATGAGTATCGACAACATTAGTCTTTTCAAGAGTATAAATTACTAAATAGATGGGAAACAAGGAAAGAACTGTCAAAAAATTTCAATCTCATCAAAAGAGAGAGGAGGAAATCAAAGTACATAAACAGAAAGTCTGAACATTATTCCGTAATCAAAAGTTTATGTTATTTAATTAAAGATATCGTATAATAACTATGGGCCAGTTAAACAAAGAGAAACCTCTGATTTAATCTGTTAAACATGAAGATGAACTAGGTAGAGATTCGCAACTGATAAATTCGCTTTTTGCAACAATTTGCGCTAATATATCAATAAACACACATCTCCGAAATAGTAGATAATTAGATTAACAAACAAACCATATGTTTCAAAACAGTAAGAAATACAGATATAATGATGATTCTCAAACGATAATTGTCGATGCAAAATAGCTCTGACTAGTCAGACCGTAAAAACAGATGGGATTAAAACTGACGAGAGGGAATGTACTGTCCAATGTTAATATTCTTCCGACCACACAGCAGCATGACTCGAAAGTAGAAAGAACTATTTCTAGGGCCTGGCAACTTAAAAAATTTCAATCTTTAGCTACGTTACCACTTTTTATCAATACCTAAGCGTGAAAGAAGTAAACGTCCATTGTTATTACATAAATCAATTAGAAAAAAAACAGATCCCATTTACGATATACCCGTTCAAATTGTCTTATTTCTCGAATGTCATATAGAACAGAAATCAGTTAAAGTTTACAAGATCTAAGTGTATGCTAGTATGAAATAATTTAGTTAAGAGAACAATAATTCATGAATAAAAATGGACCATTATGATTCGTTTTAGTGTAAATCACACATGACTTCAATTACTGAAATCTAGGAGCCATTAAACATAATATGCCTGTAATACAAATGCTATAATCATCGAATCACCTTATTGATTTCGTCATTATCAAACGTCTATCATTCCATCATATTTTATTGTAGATATCATACATTCCAATAAAGAAACTCAATCAAATATTATATAAATCCAAAATAAAGTAATAAAAATGTATGTAATGATCTTTGTAGGTTATAGTATTGTCACAGATATATTCACGAATCTAGAAGTTAATCGTTCACGCACAACACTGAAAGTCCTAGGTTCATGTCTCTCATTCAGGGTCATGGATATGCACTGTTAAGGAATCCCATCCGAAGTACTTTCAAAATTTTTAATGGCGATCTAACTTTGATCAACTTGTGAATTTAACTGTGAAAATAATGAATAAATTTGGTTAATTATTACCAACCTGTTGTAAATTAGAATATTGTTGAAGGCTTTCATCATAAACACGAATTAATTTTCCGGTAGAAAAACGAAATAATCGAATCTGAAAATATTAAATTATATTAACAGATGGGAATTTATGTAAAACAATGAATAAAGCAATTCATTTGAAAGAAGCATATGAATGACAAATTTCCCTACATAAATAAACAAATAAATTATAATAGTTATCAAATATTATTGAAGATTCATTAACTGGTTGTAGGATTTTCTTTGTTCAATCGAAATTGGAAAAAGCCATATTCTCATTTATTAATTACAAAAAATAAATAGAAGTCTGAATGAAGATTTTTACATAGTTTTTATTATAATGTGGTGTGAGCTACTTATATCCACATAAGTAGTATATAACGATAGTTAAGAATAGAATGTATTTCAGTAGGAGATCGAGAAGGGATAAACGGAAACGGAAAGTAATTGGTATGAAAATGCAGGAACAATAGAATCTGAGACGATAGACTGATATTTGTAAAAGGAATAGTCAATTTTGAGATAATGGATTCATATTTTGCAAATTAAGTATTTACTGTAATTTTGTATTCAAATACATTCGACTGAACCCACTCGTGTTCTTGTTCTATTTACAGAATTAGTGATGATTATCTTGTCTAGAATGATGATGAACTCAAAATTTGAGAAGATATCAGTCCGTCTAAATTAATTCAAAATAAAACAATTGTTAGCGGAATATGAATTGAATTGAAGCATGTTCCGTGAACAATTGTGTTGGGATATGCAAATTGGCTATTTCTTAACCAATCAGAGCTAGTGGATATTTGGAGAAGACTCTAAAACCTTCCCATGTAAAAACTATAAATACACTAACGTCTTTTTTATTGTGATCCCTACCTCCATCCAATCATTTTATTTGGAATATAATTACGTTCCTATTTAACCGTGTTCTGATTTGGGGACTTGTCGAGTGAAATAGCGTTCAAGAATACTAAGCCATAAGAGTAGCTGGGTCGTAATAAGAGAAATTATAAAAACAGTAATTATTGTGAATTTGAAAGATAGAAATCACTGAGAAATGTAGCGATTATGTATTCAACTTGAAAAAAAAAACCATAAACTATATTTTCTAAAATGATGCAGAAAATATCAGTAATAGTGTGATGTGTGGTACTTATACAGCCAGATATAAGCAGTATGTATCCAGAATCGCAAGTCGGATTCTTACTAACAGAAGAGCAAAATGAGGAGAAGAGAAGGAAAATAAAGAGCGGTCGGAGTGACAACAGGAATAGAAGAACGATGGAGTTTGTAAGGGACAATTTCATGAAGCTGTACAGATGGTGTGTTCAACGTTTTTTTTAAATTTTACAAATGCACTCTGTAGTTTTGCATGACATAATAAATTGGTTTTCCCTACCAAGTCTTCGTTCATTGAGATACTTCGCACACTAATGCTTTTCACAACATATGGATCAAATATCTCCAAGTTATACATTATGTCATAAAAGGATGCAATGAACTGAAAACTAGAGGATAAGTAGTATGTACAAAATTCATTTTTTCCAGTTGTAGTTTGATTGAATTATTTACCAAAAGAATTTAGACATTCGTGTTCCCAGTTTAGGATACAGACAATATGTTCTCAAAGAGTACGGCGGACAAGTAGCATGATACAATGAACCATGGACGAAAGATTATCACAACAGTAGGAGTGCACTAATGAATCGAAACAAGAGTATAGACGGATTAGATCAAAGGATTGGTCCCAAGAAACAAATCTCACTCATTACACAGGAAAAAAACAAAGTGTTAGATAAGTCAAACTACTTTACATAAACATTCGTAAAGGTGTTAACGAACAGTTTGACAGAAACTGGACGGCCAGTATATATGTAGGACATTAAACTTTAGAAATATACTCCAAATAATCTCAGAGATTGAAATTTCAACAATTCCAATGTCCCATCTAGAAAACGTCTCTGAATCTCCTTTTTGATAATTTAGATTTCGGTTATTTTCCTCAAACCCATTTGCTGTGAGAAACATCGGAATTAATGAAATTTCAATCTTTGAGGTTATTTGGTGCATAATGTTTTACGTTTAAGTCAGACTACTAAGTATTATTAAGTAGTAGTTCATAACACACAAAAAAACAAAGGAAAACGAAGTTGAGAAATGAAAATGACACTATGAACACTTACTTTTCTATCTGCTCCAAGAACTGCTAAAATCTCACCAGATGGAGAGAACACAACACTGAATGCAAAGGTTTTTTCAGCTAGTAAGCAATAAAAATCTGTATCTGATTTATATTCCCATTTAAGTGTCTGTGGGAAACTGTAATTATTCTTTGGACCAGACCAACATTCCAACATACCGTCGGAATCAGCGCTTAGTGCACATGCATATACAGGATTAAACTGTGAAATGAATAGAAGATGGGAAATATGTCAAAAGGTAGCAAAAAGAGTTCATGGAAAATCCGAAAGTTTTTTTTCTAATTTAAGCTTTAGACTTATTTGACACTTTTTGGATGTCTGAAAAAAGTGGACATGGTGACTCAGGCACGACAAACAGTCCAGAAATCTAAAGCTGAGCCATAAGAGAACTGAATATTTCACCGCTGACATGTGAGTAAGCGCATCTATTCGACTATGTGATGTAACAAGTATAGATACTCCCAAAACTGTGTGACATTTGCACAACAAATTCTTGAGTTTATATGAGCGCTGCCTTAAGATTAACTATACATCCAATCTTATACCGAGAAACTAAATCCATTTGCATATTAATTGAGCCTGTAAAATCATAGTGCAGGATCCGAACCTCAACAGAAAGTCTTCCTTTAAGTGGTAATTAATTATTAGGATATTCCTAGGCCCAAGTTATACAGCGAGATAAAGAAGTGACGGCGTTTAGTCGAGTGAATGTTAAGTCCTAAATGTATTCAAAGTGACCAGCCTCCCACAAATTAACACCAAAATGGAACTTATTACTATGGGTCAATCTTGTTAGAATGGATCTAATATAACTTAATAATCCTAGAGAACATGTCCACATTTGACTACCTTAAGCAATGAACATGAACAATTTTCTAACCCATCCACTTTGTATCAGTTATCTGAAGTTCAAATCTTCAGTAGGAGATTCGTTCAAGACACTGAAAAAGTTAACCTAGCCTAGCAACCACTGAGTATACATATATTTAAAATATACTTAAATGTAAGATAAAAAGTTGCATTGAAATAATAAGAGGAAAGTATATTTTATTGCAAACAGAAAAGAGAACAGAAACAATTCAAAAGTAAGACATTTTCAACAAATCAAACCATATTACGAGAAAGAATAAAAAGCCAGCTATACATATCCAAATGTTATCATCAAAAATGGAATTCGAACATAGAATTTATACTAAACATCTAAATAGTCTTTTACTTATCAATAGGAATATTAAATACGACAGTCCTACTGTACAGAGCTGAAACTTGGCGGACTACTACAACCATCAAAAAAGTACATGTATTTATAAGCAATTGTCTACGCAACATATTCAATGTCTGTTGGTCGGATACCATCGACATAAGCCTACTGTGGGAGAGAATGAACCAGCTTCGAGCGGAAGAAATTAGGAAAAGACGATGGAGATGGATAAGACATATATTGTGGAAATCATCAGATTGCATCACGAAGCAACCCCTAACTCGGGACCCGGAAGTGAATAGGAAAGGAGGAAGACTAAGAAACACATTGCACCGGGAATCGGAAGCAGACATTAAAAGAATGGATAGCAACGGGAAGGGACTGCCCAGGACAGTTGGTTGAAGAATCCAGGTCGGCGGCTTATGCTCCTCCGCGAGGGGTAATGGGCGTAATTAAGCAAGAAATCTTAATTGATATAGTCACAAAGATATTAAAACTTTAGCCGACAATATTCCATTTTAAGTAAAGAATGGGTGTTTGAAGAAAATCTAATTTTTATTGTCTCAATGATTGTGAACTAGTAAAACGTCAAATCCTACGGTCATATTCATGATAACTCACGTAACTGAGTAATTACATGTATATTCGCTTAGTACGCTGTAATTCACATAAATCATATGATTTCTACTCAAAACAAGATAAATGTAAGTGTACACCATTCCTAACACCAAAATCTCAAGAGATAAAAACAAGGTATTTGAAAAGTGCTTATAATAGACCATACGTATTAACAGTCTAGTTGACACTAATTAGATATGAACTATATGTAACTAGCACAAAACTGAAGTATAAAAACTCACCGCTAAACAAACTATAGGCGCTTCATGTAATTTTTCAATAGTATGTAATAATTCACCTTTGCTACGTGCATCGAATATTCGAATTTTAGAACTATCCTGATCGGATCTACAAATCGGTTTTTAAAAACAACTTTTTTCTTAAATGGTTAGAACTCCATAACTCTGTAAGTAAACAATATTTCTCAAATGTACCGTTATAATATATACATAATTAAAATACAATATTTCCACAGTTTGTTTCCTAGTTATTAATTAATCTCTTATTTAAATCTACAAACTACCTTTAACTAACAAACATTTGGATAGGATTAAGCTCATAATTGATGCAATGCAGAAGTTAATGTGTATTATGTTTATAGAAATACTTAATGATTAAATATTAGATAAACAAAATGATTGCTGAAAATTGAAGTATTTAGAGTAGGATTTAAGCGAGCAACTTAAAATGATTGAGAGATGAACGCCTAAGTAAGTAAGTAAGTAAGCAATAATTTTTATATGGCAGGATAATGATTAAAGAATGAAAGAAAATTTGTATTGGCTGTAGCAATCCAATTACTTTGCCTATTCATGTTTTGTTGATCTTATATTCGATTCCAGTTAAGTCGTATAATGGTGGTTAACGAAATACACATGCCGGCTACCCTCATATATAATTATCGACTTAATTCGAGTTACAGAAATAACAGAATGAAATAAGTCAAATACGAGAATGAAATTTGAATGTGTATATTTCACACACGAAGTGGCGCGCAGCGGAGAAAGCGAGTGAGTCAACTCGATTTGATTAAGGATGACCTAATAATTATAGTGAGACCAAAAATAAGTTACAGACACGTAATGAATAGAGTAAGCAATTAACACACATACAGTCAAATAAAAACAGTCAGGCTTAATGAGCGAAGAATCAACAAGACTAAAATGTGGCTTGAGAAGAGTGAATATACTGGTCTGTTCAGAAGCCAGAATAACCTATGTGAGCTTGACGTATTACCAGCCACTACAATTTTTACAACTACCGTCCACATTTCACCTGGATTTTGATGCATGACAGTGGTATTTAACTATAAGGTAAATAAAATTAATGTTGCGGTTTTATAAACAGCTGGTTGATGTTATGTCTAGTTTACCAAATGTTTAATTATACTAACTGAACAATATTTATGATCCTAAAAAACATCTTTGACTGTTGATGTTTGTTTAGAAAATGTTGAACAATTGTTTTATATAGTTAGGAAACTTTACCACAGTACCTTACACGAGGTCAAAATAGATCGTCTTGAATTTATACAAAAGAATATCGAACTTTTGATTAAAGACCAGCGCCTTCAATATTATTTGTACACTGAATATAGTAGTTATCACTAACACAATGTTTTAAGAAGGATCAAAAAAGTATTGGAAAGAATTCTCTGGACTGGCGAAAACGATTGGTTCTTTGACTAATACGATGTCCTATTATCAACGACCAGTCTTTCTCATTGCTATTATATCATTACGATCTCTCGTTATTAATCTTGCTAATGCTGTACTGGTATAGTATGGGAACTTTAGTTGCTGAAAATCTGTCCCAGACCTTATACTGGCCACGACTGACAAACTGACACAATACCGCAATAAAATCCTCTTATTTAACGGTCAAATAACTCCACTGAAATCACAAGCTGATTACAACCAGACAACCGTTGAGAACCTGGAAGCACTGTTTTGTCTTTGTAAATGATTACTCGGCGATGTGTATTCACGGCCCCGCAAAACAGAATATAATTCATAACGCCCAGCCTCTGGATAACTGAGACGGGATTCGATGGTGTACAAGTCTAACTTCAATCAGTCCATGATATTACGCGACCATATTCTATTATCTTCGTTGAGTAAAATCCTCACACCCGAGACAGTTTAATTCAACTGGTTAAAAGTTCCTACTAGAACGCCAGAAATTTCCTCTCGAAGCTATTTATTAGTGAGTACATGATGTGTTGTCATTATGAGAACGTGGAAACTGTTGGATTTCGTTCAAATCACAACTGGATCTCGATTCAGTGGTCTAGAGGTTAATAGTTTGCACACGAGACCGAAAGTCCTGGGTTTGCATCCCGCTTCCGGGGCCAAAGATCGCACTGCTGAGGAGTACTGTACCAAGATGAGGCGGCTATTCAGTGCTTGCAGGTTTTCAATGACTGTTTTACCTTAATCAGCTCGTGATTTCAGTGAAATTCAACAATCTCCGCAACTCCATAATGAAGATTGAGGAGTTATTTTTAAAGTATACAAAATTTTAATGTTGATTGTCTCTGTACAATAACATTAAGATACAGTCCAAATATACTGGTTTCAGAAAAAAACAATGTTTAATAAATAGTAGATTCGACAAATAAACAAATAAACTAATAAACAGCATACATGGCAACTGCAGTGACCTCATCTTTTGGAGTATAAATGAAACAACACCCACTAGGTGAAAAATCTAATTTCATCATACTGATCATATCTATAATTGAATGAAAGCAAGAGAAAAACATGTTTATAAATAAATACTAGAGACAGTTATAATACTCTAATCTATATATGTTGTACTGTTTATGATAAAACCAGCCAGCAAACATGACCATTATTCTCAAAACTATATGAAAATATGGTGGGAATTTAAATTGTTTTTCTTATGTGTATAAAGATAACTGACTAAGTAATTTGATGGCTATACATAGAGACCTTGAAGATGGGGATAATGGCCACATATGTATTTTAGGTTGTTAGGGAGACTCAGAAAATTCCTCGGAAAAAGCCCAAAGGGTGCCTGAAAACTCTGGGAAACATTTTATCCAATCAGCATCGAATAGAAGTTTCTCAGGAACATCTAGGAAGTGAAGTTACACGTCACATTTCTGATTGGATGATTACCTATCCTGTTACTATCATTAGAAGGGTTCCAGAACTTTATCCACTCAAGTTATTTATTAAGTATATCTTCATAAGTTATCGCTTTCTACCATTTAAACATATCCACTAATATCCCAGATTTTATTACGTTCAGTCATTCTATCTATTATTGGGCTTATCAGAAATATGCAGTCAAAGTTTTAACTCGACGGTGAGTTGTTTGATGCATATGAAGATAATTAGAGGACTTGAATAGGACATATAATCAGCTGCACCAACGTTCAAATGATTAGGAGTATGTGGTGAAACAATCAGTGTCCTATAACTAAAGATATTATTGTAGGTTTGAGTGTAACAAAAAATCTCTAAACTCCGCACATAACAGATAGGCTATCAGTTTGTCCATTAATGTTATCTGAATGAAAATAGTCGATGAAGGTAACTATAATTCATTTATGTGATTATGATATTCATTACAACCAATGGTTTATGACACATGTCGGTTAATCAGTCAGCGTACATCCAGATACGAATATGTGATGTCCCAAATTGTCATACCACATCACCACGATGACATGAAATGAAAATTATGACTAGCAAATGAATCGGAATAATGTGATATCAATGATCATAAGAAAGATTAAACGTTGAGAATACAGTTCGAAAATAATCTCAAAACATTCCATGACATTATAGATGTTTAGCTAGAACTATATATATCAGTTTATTACTAATTTCAGTGATTGTTTTATGATGATCAAGATTACTTTAATTCATTTACGTGTACCCGTGAAGAAAAGCTCCTAGGTATGTAGTTCATATGCTCCTTTTTAACTAAATGTTCATAGAACGTACAAAAGTGTATTACTTAAGGGCTATCTATAAAAAATACTGCAAATTGAACGGATAGAGAATACATAAGAAATGAACAAAATTTAAGTCTGTCAAAACGATGAAAGGACAATTGATCTGAATCTTTTGATAACTCACCGAAATTAATAACATCAAAAACCTTGGCAGTTTTATCATCACCAACAGTACAGGCTAATTCACCATCACAGCTAACTGACAAGCCAAGAATAGCTCCTGCATTTGACGGTTAAATGAAAGTCAAATGAATGAATTTTATTTAGAGTGGAAATATTTAAAAAGAATATACATAACACATTATCATTATAATTCATGATTAGAATTCCAGAAAATAAAGTCAAGTAATTAGTTGATTTAAAAAATGAACTGATCAAAATACTTGGTTTTTTATGCACTATGGAGAAATGAAACTTTTGAATATTTGGTTAAGTTAAAATTGATTCAGAAGTAGAATAATAATTAGACGTTATGATTAGCGAAACAGCGATCCAGTATTCTTCTGTTCTAAATAATTTCTAACTCTATATCAATCCATAGTAAGTGGCAATTTAAATCTACACTAACCTCTACAAACGTCTATCAACGGACATGACGTTTAGTCATCGATTTACGAACCAAATTTTATTGCTTTGATTATGACATTCAGTCACCAAAACTATCATTAACTTTCTGCGTCAAGATATAATATACAGTTCAGTGTATAAGTGAACTATCAGCTTTGATCAAGTTTGACCAACTTATTCAGAAAGTAGATAACATAGAAAATATATTCATTAGAATATATTGTTTTGGATGAAAACAGCTTGTCCCAAACTCCAGAACACCTCGGTTCAATATCAGAACACCTTAAAAGTTTTGAATGATAAACAACCCAATACTGACGTGAAATATTTGTCTGACGTTCTTTTACATCTAAACGTTTTCAAAAGACTCCTTCAAAGCTTATACACCAATAGGTTACGATCTGAAACGGGCAGTTATTGATAATGAAGACTATCCTTCAGAAATGGAAATCTGACTGTTAACAGATAATCAGAAAAAAACGTAATTTACACGGTTTTGAAAATCTTTAGGCATTGTTTTATGCTGATAAGATCGTCACAATAGTTTAGCTCGGATACAAAGATCACTCTCAATTAAAAGTACAAAAGATTTTTCTGCATCAGCTATGGAAATCGACATTATTGTAAACTCTGTCTTGATATTAGATGTGTGAAGTCAGTCGGCGAAAGCCTAAGACCTAAATATATTGATAATCGGCAAATGTCGTCTGTGTGTAAATAAATTTCAACCCACAAAATCCACTATAGAAATCAGAGATATCTTCACTAAGCTAGGCAATGAATAACCTATACAACTAAGATGGGAGAGAGTTATACAGCAAACACATAATACCGAAAGAACGGGATGCTTTAAGATGGCAAATATGCTAATCGAAACAGGATGATGAAATCGAGATGGCAAAAAGAAAAAGAAAGGTCTGTTACAGTTTCTTACCTAAATGTGCTCGGTAGTGTTTGATAAACTCTAGTCCAACACCATCAGCTTTTCGCCAAAACTTAAGATGACCATCATTACTACACGTCATCAAATAGTGAGTTCTGTAATTTAAGAAGTCAATTTAAAAATCATAAGTAAAATAAGCAACACTAGAAAACGCTCATTTAAGTGGGAAGACTTGAACATGATTACTGGGAAATAGAGGCTATTGAAGAAATAAAAACGACTTTTCGAAATATCTCCTAGCTAAATTTTTTTTCTTCACTAGCACAACGGACCTGTTTAGTTATAATTAGAAGCCAACTAAAGACATTCATAAGAAACGACCCATCAAATAGCCGATATTTCACTAATAGCAAGAAATGGTCTCAAGCTTGGCCCCTTTTGTAGTCGTGAGTTGGTATTCCTGAATAATCATAAACTATGATGATAAGGTCGTTTGGTGCTAGCCAATTATTTGCATTTCTATGACCTACGACAGACTGTCGAAGAAATTCTTCAGACTGACCTTGGTTTCATATTATTCGTAATCCGGTAGTGAATAAACTGAATAAGTTTCATCGGGGATATAAAAATTAGTGTTGATTATCTTCAACATTATTAAAATTGAAAATCTACTTACTTTGAGTAGGCAACATGTGTTATCACATTTCTATGCATATAACTTATTTCATAGTATTGAGCTACTGGGATATTACGTAGGTAAATTGCTTCATCTTTAAGGACTGGAATGCAAAAAGGGAAGTAAAATGTTTCTAAGTACAGTACAAACGCTCAACAAATAAAGAATAAACAATCTTTAAAACACGTTGCAATTTCAAACAGAATGACCAGATAAACATTTCACGAGACCGTATCTGTTAAGCGTCCCACAATAGGTAACAGAATAGAGACAGGAATTTTAAAAAATGGCAAAACCTCAAGGTAAAGTGACATATATTAGAACTGTTGAGTGTACGAAAAATAATTTGTGGGTCCACGGGACAATTGTCGTTTACTTTGAGTCGTATCGCTAGACCGTAAGTCTTATAACCCGAATACAACATCTGCCTACACAACAGTACGTGATTAGCATCAACAGTAGCAGACCTCATGAACTAGCATCATTTTTCTGACCAACCTCAGCTGTTTACAAATTAATCTTCACTTTAGTTGGTTGTGTGACGTGTGCTTTGTTCACGATCAAGGCATTACATTGAACACGGTGTGGTGGCTGGAGTGATAATTATTCAATATCTTGAAGAGAACTTGTAATCAATCAAATTAAAGAAAATGTCAAAACAATAATCTTTGAGGTTCATTAGGGATAAAATAACAATTTAGTGATAAGTGAAACGGCTTACCTTTACGTTTCTTTTTAGGAACTGGTACAGAATCACCGTCTTCACTAACATCTTCCTGAAACTGCATCATTTCAGATGGTAAAGGACCAACTGTATCGTCTCTAGGTTCGTTTTGATCATTATAATCGACCTCGCCGGCATTTCCGGTCGGCAAAGGACCGATGGTTTCATCATTATCAGACATGATCTATGAACAAATCAAATGTCTCGGGATGCTAAAACATAGAAGACAAACAAGTTAAGATATCTTGAAAGGAAACTTTGAAACGTGCGACACATCATCAATATGAAGTTGATAGTAAGTCGGTTGCATGCGCTTGACAACAGACTAAAAAGGGCAATGAAGTGAGGAAATATTTATGGAAACGCGCTAAGTGGATATTTTCAGGACAGTAGACTCCATTATTTGAATAGAATGTAGTAGCGAATTGACATAATCTCAATTTATTTCGAGCGTTAGGACCTAATATCCAAACACCTGGCGATTAATAGTAAGTTACTAAAGTATCATTTAATTAACACAGCTCAAACGACTTCGTAACGTTTTCCAATAACTTTTCCACTTTGTTATCCGTGAGAATACAAGAAAACTTTCAAGGGTCCTAATTATTTGATCCCACGTAGTTTCTTAAATCTGATGTACGAATATTATAGATTTTAGCAAATTTCAGGGAACCTAGTACAAACGCTTTCCAGATTAGTTGGCTAATTAACCTTGAGGTGACGTTCTGATTTCTTTCACCCGCTCTCAAATTCACAATATCTGTGTCACGATACTCAACAAACCAATCTATTTCTTTACGCTCGCTTCTTGTTGTTTCACTACGATTCAAGGAATTTGGCGACATTCAGTGTGAAACAGTCTGGTCTCTCGAATGTTCCACTACTAGTAAGTATGGTAATTATATCTGAGTTTGTTTATCTTGGAGTTTATAAAGTGAGCTTGTCTCAGGACAGTTGTGTTTCTGGTTACCAGTAACTATCACACTACCAGGCAGGTGGAAGGCTCAATTCGAAAAATAACAGGAGAAACTGGGATGATAACGACATAAATAGGAAGTAGTTACCAATATGCGGTGATGATAATCCTGGTAATCTATGATACATGCAACCGATACAGCTAGGCGATGAGAGAGATGGTCATCCATAGGTGAGTACATGTTTTTCAGGTCTCCTCTTAAATCCACCTCCTAGTGGAGGTATAGTCACTTTGTCTGGGATAGAATTCCAAATGGGGACAACTGGTGATGAAAAATAGTGTACTTGTATGTTCGCTTTTCGGTGTACAATCTTCCGATGGTTGCCTCAAGGAGCTTGGTAACGATGTTCTGGTAATATGCTCTTGTTGTGGTGGTTTTGCGTGCTTAATATGTTGCATGCCATTATCACATCACCCCTTATTTTCTTGTTTGTGAACAAGAATAATCACAAGTATTGAAGACTGTCATCGTAAGATTTATGTTTTAGCTCTATCATTTACTTCGTCGCCAGTTTCCGAACTTAGTTTAAGAAATTTTATGACGTTTCGGGAGACGCTCCAACTTCTTGTATACTAAAGTTAGCACCTTATGCACATAACGTAGGAATTTTCGATTCATCCTTTAGGACAGTCAGACATAAAAAAACCTCAGTTACCTACCTCAATGTTAACCTAGAAAGTTTTAAAGCTCGATGTATGTCACGTAACTTCAAGGATGACAGTATTTTATCCTATTTCACAAGTGCTATTGTTAACCCATAATCTGTTAAACAATCTTGTATACGCCGACAAATCAATTCCATTTTTGTCCAACAAACTAAAACGTTTACTAACCGATCGCTTTCACGTAACATCATAAGATACACGCGAAAGTGCGTAATTCAAGGAAACTATCTCGTGCTCTAGATCATACTAACAAGGATTTTGTACAACGAACTCAAAAAATTGCCTAGATGCCCGTTTGGGGAGCAGCATTACATCTAACGTCGTTACCGCCTGGTTCCCGGTTGAAAAATGATAGACCAAGAAAACAGCTTATGTCAATTCCTTCTTGAAATTTTCGTTTGGATAAAGACTTTTTTTATCCATCAAAATGTTAATAATGATATTGGTGATGCTGTTGATGTAACGAATCAAATAACAATAGTCCGTTTGAACACAGAGCTAACTAACCAAAGTTTATTCGACCAGGTCAAACCACGCTCTTCTGTATAAAATATGGAGTGTTTTTTAATGACTCGTATTAAATTTTATCAAAACACAAACTCCGTGTTCAATATAGACTGTTTTAATTTAATAAAGAGAAAAAATTATGTCAAAAGCACGAAGTGTCACTGACACTAACTAACGTGCTGATAATTAATCGAAAATATTCTCGACAAGATGTGATCAGGAATCTTTCTGCAAGGATTCCTACAACCTTTTCAAGCAAGCATTAGAAGGATACCACTTATACACTGAACCACGCCGTGACCTTGAGATTGGTCAAATGTGACTCCACTGTCAATGGTCTTGCATCATGCAGCAGTAAATCAGGTAATTAAAGGCAAATCTTCAGTCGAGATAAAATAACAAAAGCCCGAAAAGGAAGACTGACACACTTCACTGAGTAGAGAAGAAGGTAGGTGCTTCAATGTTCTCTGCCTGGGTAGTGAGCATGTCACATCTGCACTTGAGTTATTGATCCCCGACCTACTGTTTAATCCACCACTTCTTCTGATAGTCCTCTTGAAGCGTAGACCAATTCTATGTGGCTGTGTTGTATGTAAATATCTTCCCAAGTATAGTTGAGTCCCCAATGTTATTATACGATGGCGATGTAAAGATTTGGCGAGAAATAATGGGAGAAGCAGATTCACGCGCACTTAAGGAAGAGATAAATATTGTGATGTTTATTAACGCGGTAACGTGTTGCTACATGCACTTCGGAGATACAAAGTTAAACAAACACTGCACAGAGGAAGTGCCTGTACATATGTTCTGGTCTCACAAGGATCTTGGGGTGACAGCGAGTCATGATCTTAAGAAAATGGCTAAGCGGTTTAGAACCTAGTGAGCTTTAAAACGGACATCCATCAAATTAGATACTACCATGTTCACTACAGTATATACAATCTTAGTGAGTAGTAAGTTTGAAAACTGTGTTCAGCCCGCAAGCCCGTTTGAAAGGTGACTCGGATATCCCAAAAAATGTACATGGGGCAGCTACCCGTGCAATTCTAGAGCTCCGTGATCTACCATACAAAGGGTGGCTTGAAAAGCTAGACCTCTTTACTCTGTCCTGTCGCAGGTTCAGAGGTTACCTGATTTTAATGTACAGAATACTAAGAAATAATTTTGGACCTGATACACTTCCCATACAAAATCTTACGATATTCTTGATATCAATACACTGAGTTTCAATGTAACAGTTGTTGCTTCATTTAATGAATTGAAAAAGAAACTTGGTTGTCCAACAAATGATACAAATCAAAGCATAATTAGTTCATCAGACATAATGAAATGCAAATGATAAGATTTTTATTTCTGTATTATTACCATTATTATTATTACTATAGATCTGGTAATAGTGGCACCCTATACATATATGAGGTCGCACTACTTGTGTGCAAAGCATCACAAAAGATCGCTTACATAATTGAAAAACGATTACCTCCTAGTTTTAAATAAATGATATAATGTAATAAATTAATGATTATACATTTGTACCGCAGATGTGTTCTTCACGTTGAAGTCAGAATTAGACAATACTAATCACTTGAAAATCACAAACATTTATGGATAATCAATTATATTGTAGTCAAACAGATCGAATGAATGACATAAAATCTGTCTCACTCATTCTGGTTAAAGATAATGTCGATTTTCAGTTCACATAACTTTTATTACTGTCTAGTCACCTTCATAACGTTTTTATAGGTACTACAATGAATTAGTTGAGTTTAGTACGTACGAAAATGATTACCAGAGAGAACTACTTGAGCAAATTAAATTGTGTCTTAGAAGTTTACGTGTCTCTATATAGAAAGGTTACAACGTCCCATGTGAAGACCACCAGTTTTCAGAAGACACGTGGCCACTATCTGATAGCCATAAACATAAGTGAATTGGTTGCCTGCACAATACTAGAGACCGGGGGTCGGGTCATTTTAGTAGAGGCAGAAATAGAAAGATCAAGTCCAGTTGTGTTCAGAATAACTGATACTGTGGTGTGGGTTACTTATATCCACATAAGTAGTACATAACGGTGGTCAGGCATAGGACGCATTTCAGTAGAAGATCCACAAGGAAAGAATGGGAACGGAACGCATTTGGTATGAAAATGCGTGAACAATGAAGTCTGAGACAATGGATTGATATTTTGCAAATTAACTATTTACAATACAGTTCTCAGATTTCAGTGATTTGCTATGTAGTTTCATGCTCAAGTCCAGTTAATTATCACCACTCGTGTTCTGCACACCACAATACAAGCTGGACATAATCTAGACACAAATCAATAACTTCAGAGGAGCTGCTATTTTACCATGGTCACGTATAACAACAGGCACACAATGATAAAGATGCGTGAAATCCACTTGTAAGATAGGAAACGTAGGGGTCAAGGATCATCGAAGCATTTTTCAAAACAGAAAAGAAAAAAGTGTAATGCCATTCAGTGCTAAGCACCCACCAACAGTAAGAAAGATGACGACAATGATCAGTTTGATGACAGACCGTAGTTCATACTGACCAACGACCCGAGAAAAGGCCTGATCATCAGATATGGAAACCAAATGCCAAGTTCGATATGGTCAGCATCGAGTATGAACGGATCGTAAGGCTATATGAAGTGAGAAAAATAAACAATTATGGTGTGATACTGCTAAGTATATCATCAATATTTTCACACACAGAAAATTTGTAGTGGCATAGGACAATAGCCACGCAATCCACAAAGCTGTGAACACGAGACTACTCAGAAAATAGATATTCAATATTTAACTCGGGGAAATACCTAACAATGGAGAAGGCGCAGAGAATGAATTGAATGGACTGAGTTGATCGAGTGGCATGGCTCGGCCATGCAGGCGTGGTCCCTGCTGGATGTTATCTTATATCTCCTATTCATAGTTAAACATAATAGTTCCAGGATATCGTCATAAAGCATTGTCATGACTTGACAATCACGTAATATGATTGATAAAATTAATGAAACTATTAACAAAATCGATCAGCAAATTGACTTATAATTATCACTAGTGTTGTTTTTTCTTTTATCTTCATTCACTACAGATGATTACAGTATGTTTCTCTATCAGTTGCTTATTCAGTAAATATCTCAAAACCTTGTCAGTCTAATTGATGGTATAGCGACACAATCATGCATGCAAATAATCAGTATAAGCAGTCGAGCAAATCTCCTGCAAACTGAAAACATCAATGTCGAATTTACCCCAACACTGACTAAGGTTCAAGCCATTATCATAGACATGAGTTGGGAGTGTACTCCCCCTGGTTACAACTTATGTTCTCCCTGATAATCACATGAGCATCACTCACCATTAATCATCTTGTAAAAACTTATTTAGCTAAATACATCTTGCAATACCACATCACTTCGTAATATGACACAGGCCTAACTGATTTTAATAACTTATAACCACTATATCTCAATTAAATCGTATTCCGCCTTATTATAAACTGCATACTTGCAACTAACTTGTATGCCCAATCAGCCAGCAAGTATAAATATAAATAAATAGTCTGCCACAGATCAGAACATTGAGTCTAGAGCATGTCTCTAAC